CCTAAACATAATAATGAGGTTGAGGTGTATGATGATGATGATGATGATGATGATGATGATGATGATGATGATGATGATGATGATGATGATGATGATGATGATGCTTTTGATGTTGTTGCTGATGATGATGACGAGGATGCTGATGTTGCTGATGTTGCGGATGCTGCTGATGCTGCTGCTGCTGCTGCTGATGATGATGATGATGATGATGATGATGACGATGAGAAGGAGGAGGAGGAGGAGGAGGAGGAGGAGGAGGAGGAGGAGGAGGAGGAGGAGGAGGGGGAGGAACGGGGTGGTGGAGGAGAAGAAGGTGGATGAGGAGGAGGGGGAGGAGGAGAACGAGGAGGAGTTGGAGGAGGAGGAGGAGGAGGAGGAGGAGGAGGAAGAGAAGGAAGAGGAGGAGGAGGAGGAGGAGGAGGAGGAGGAGGTGGAGCAGGAGAAACAGGAGCAGGAGCAGGAGGAGCAACATGAACAGGAAGAGCATTAGCAGCTGGATGAGGACAGAAGGAAACCAGAGTAAACCCGGGATGCACGGACGATGCTTTAGCACACCCTCCCGTCCCATGCCCGCTCCTCACGAGTCCCTTCAAGCATTCCTTTTCAGCGCCACAGGCTTCCCTTTGAACGATGAATGCCCTACGGGCCGTGGCGGACTCGAAAAAACAGGGAAATGTATGAATTCACTGTTGTTCAAATGATCTTCGGCCTCTTTTTTTGGTTCCCAGCCCTCCTTGGTTGGGTATTCGTTTTGAATAGAGCAGTGTGGTCTCCACTCCTTCCTTCCTTCCCGCCTCCCTCTTGCCTCATCCTGTCTTGCCTGCGGGGGGCTGCGATCTGTGAAACTGTCGCCACTTTCGAGGCCTGCTGGGGGCCCAGCACAGTGACGCCATAGGCGGATTCAAATTAGACCTCGCCGTCCTGGGGGGGCTGCGATCTGTGAAACTGTCGCCACTTTCGAGACCTGCTGGGGGGCCCAGCACAGTGACGCCACGGGCGGATTCAAATTAGACGTCGCCATCCCTGGGGGGCTGCGATCTGTGAAACTGTCGCCACTTTCGAGGCCTGCTGGGGGGCCCAGCACAGTGACGCCACGGGCGGATTCAAATTAGACCTCGCCATCCCTGGGGGGCTGCGATCTGTGAAACTGTCGCCACTTTCGAGGCCTGCTGGGGGGCCCAGCACAGTGACGCCACGGGCGGATTCAAATTAGACCTCGCCATCCCTGGGGGGCTGCGATCTGTGAAACTGTCGCCACTTTCGAGGCCTGCTGGGGGGCCCAGGTGTAGAGCACTGGGGGGCTGCGATCTGTGAAACTGTCGCCACTTTCGAGGCCTGCCCAGCACAGTTCAAATTAGACCTCGCCATCCCTGGGGGGCTGCGATCTGTGAAACTGTCGCCACTTTCGAGGCCTGCTGGGGGGCCCAGCACAGTGACGCCACGGCGGATTCAAATTAGACCTCGCCATCCCTGGGGGGCTGCGATCTGTGAAACTGTCGCCACTTTCGAGGCCTGCTGGGGGGCCCAGCACAGTGACGCCACGGGCGGACCCAAATTAGACCTCGCCATCCCTGGGGGGCTGCGATCTGTGAAACTGTCGCCACTTTCGAGGCCTGCTGGGGGGCCCAGCACAGTGACGCCACGCGCGGACCCAAATTAGACCTCGCCATCCCTGGGGGGCTGCGATCTGAGATCCCCGCTTTCGAAGTGGCTAGGGTTGCTCAGGGATTGTAACTAATCAGCTTTATCTAGTCCTTGTCCTGTAGCCAGTGTCCTGCGAGTCTCCCGAATTCCGTCTGCAGACATATGTAACCCTCGCGCCGTTATCGCCCCCCTTACAAAGTGTCCTAAATTATTTGCGCCCCGCGTTTGCGCAGGGGTTGGGTACGTCGCCAGGGTAATTTGTCTTGGGCCTCTTCGGGGCCCCTTGAGACCTCTTGGCGGTTTCTTGGGAGTCTCTTGGGGCGTTTTGGGGGCCTCTTGGTGCCCCCTAGGGGGCTCTTGAAGCGAAGATCTGCGGTTCTCGTTTCACGTTCCCCTTTCTCGGGCCGCTATCCGGGCGCGCCTGGGGCTCGTCGTGGGGCCGTTCTAAGTGTTTGAGGGCCATCCACAGGCCTCCGAAGCCCATCGGCAATGAACAGGCGAGTTCTTCAATCATTAACGGTTTCCCAACAAGGTGTTTGGAACATTTTAAACTCTGGGGCCATTTGGGAAGCCTCTGGGGGCCTCTTCTGGATCTCTGGGAGCCGCTTGGAGGCGTCGTGGAAGCGTCTTGGGGACCCTCAGGCCCATCTTCGGGCCAGCCTGGACCGACTTGGCGGCCCCTTGGGCCGTCTTCAGGCCATCCCGGGTTGTTTCGGAGCAGTCTTGGCAAGCTTTGGAGCGCCCTTGAAGCTGTCCTGGAGGCGTCTGGGGCTCTTCATGGAAGCATCTGGACAGCTCGTTCGGATCTCGTGGCAGGTGTCTCCGGGGCCTCCTGGAAGCAATTCCGATGCCTCTTGGGGCCGGTTTCCGTGCCTGTCGGGGCACCTTTCCGGGCGTTTTGGGGGTCTCTGAAACCTCTGGGGGCCTCCTGGGGGCCTCTTGGGACCGAGGACCCGAAAAGTTAGTCGGATCCCCCGTCTGGGCCCCTTCTTGGAACCGTCTTGGGGCTCTCTTGGGCCGTCTTCGAGGCCTCTTGAGCCGTCTTGGGCCCTCTTGGGCCCTCTTGGGCCGTCCTGGGGCCATCTTGTGGGCCTCTTCGGCAGTCTTGGGGCGATCTTGGGGGCCTCTTGGGCCGTCGTGGAGCGTCGGGAAGCCTAAAAGGCGAGAACCCCCCAAACCTTGAAAAACCATCGACCAACCAACAGTTGTTGCGTCTTGGGGCCCTCTTGGGAAGCCTCTTGGAGGTCTCTTGGGGCGTGTTGAAGGCCTCTTGGGCCTTCTTGGGACCATCTTGGGCGTCTTGGAGCGATCTTTGGCCGTCTCTGGACCCTCTTGGACCATCTTCGGGGCCTCCTGGGGCCGTCCTGGAGGCCTCTTGGGCCGTCTTGGAGGCCCCTTGGAGGCCCCGGGGTGGGGTCTTAAAAAAAGTGTCCGCAGACGGTTGCGGAGGTGGCCGACCCCGGGCCGCGGGGGGGTCTATTGATTTACATATGATATTATAAAATATGAGAGGCCTGTTTTCCACCACCACCACCATAAGTTGGAGGGGGGAAGGAGGTGGAGGATGAGGAGGAGGAAGAGGAGAAGGAGGAGGAGGAGGACCCCCTCCCCCTCCTACTTATGGTGGTGGTGGTGGAAAACAAGCCCATCAAAATAGGATTGAAGGATGATAAAACGACCCTACCCTGGGTTACAAGTGAGTGGTCTGTAAACCTCCTGGGACCCCCCCAAGCCTAGAGCCGCCAGGACGCGGCACATCACGCAGGGTGTACCCTGTCGGCCCACAGGAGTTTCAGCGCACAGCGCCTCGAAAACCAGGGTAGGGGCGATTTCTTATGCCCTCGATATGAGAGAATATCATGTCTCACCAGGGCGCGGTTGACACCATGGAGCGAAACGAGACAACGCAAGGGCAAACAGACGATGCACCAGCTGCTGACTAACGCAGCGAGGTAGCACGGTGAAGTGGCGCGGCGCGCTACATAACACGACCGGCGCGGCGAACCGCATAGTTGTGCCGCAACCAACCGAGACCTAGTCGCAACCTCCGTGGGTCGCGCCACACAGAATCCTACGAGCAGTTCGTGGCCCCGCCGAGGTGGAACGGGGGCCACGTAGAAGCAGGCCGAGGAGAAAAAACTACCAGCTGCGGCCCCAGAGACGGCGGGAGAAGGCGGAGGACGAGGACGACCGGCATGATGGGAAGGGAGCCCTGAGGGAAGCGGGTCCTGGCCACCTCGGGACCCGAGGCACGACCAGCCTCTCACCCCGAGTTGCTCTCTCCGTCCGAACACGGTGCAAACCTTCCAGGACCTCCATGGCTCGGGGTCGAGCAAAAACAAATCCTCGACCTGTCGTGGGGTGCGCTCTAGTGAAGATTGCGAAGACTGCGCAGCCGCGGCGACGAGAAGCCGTCCGGAGGCCCCGACACAAAGACAACCATGCAGCACACATATCTTGGAGCATCGATCCTCGATCGAGTTGACAACCCACCTGCAAATCCGCTCGAAATCGGCCCCTGGACATCTCTAGCTGAGGCGGCTGTCCGTGCGCAGCCCCGGAGTCTTGCCGCCCTCGAACATGGTACGAGGAGTCCTCCGATAGAGGACAGAGTTATCTGTGCACATACACCCGTTCTGTTCAGGCCTGTCCTGGGGCCCAGGATCGGTGCACACGCCTCCGTGGCTTGGCCGGGGAGGCATTCGGACCGGACGAAAGGGGGGGAATAGCAAAGGGGGGGTTGGAGAATCAGTTCACGTAGCTGACTTTCCCAGCGCCTCCCGGCTCCGGAGGCGCCCATGTATCGAGGGGTGGGCCCCATGTATCCAAGTAAGAGTAAGCGGGGGGAGGAATAAGGGTAAAGGGGGGCAGGAGGGGGAGGGGGAGGTGGAGAAGGAGGAGGAGGAGGAGGAGGAGGAGGAGGAGGAGGGGGAGGAGGAGGAATGAGGAGGAGGAGAGGAGGAGGAGGAGGAGGAGGAGGAGGGGGAGGAGGAGGAGGAGGGGGAGGAGGAGGAGGAGGAAGAGGAGGAGGAGGAGGAGGAGGAGGAGGAGGAGGAGGAGGAGGGGAAGGAGGAGGAGGAGGAGGAGGAGGAGGAGGAGATGCAGCAGATTTCGTACCCCCCCCTTTCCCAATAATCCCTCCCTTCTCTTCTGGCCCGAGGCGTGCGCACGCCGATCCTACAGGCCAAGGATGGGCCCGGCCAGGACCGGTGCGTGTGTGAAGGGGAACTGGGACACACAAACAAATACAGACAAATTAAACTATTCCCCATATTTTCATATATTTCCTGGGTTTTTGTCTTCCCCCCCACTTCCCATATCTTCCCATATTTTTTGGGAATCGCCGATGAATTGTGTCTGTGTGCTTTTTCCCCTCCCGAGTGTGCCCGGCCCGCCTCGCCCGACGCCGAGAGCTCGTCGGCGCAGGGCCCGAGGCGCGCGCAGCGGCGAGGGCGGAGAAGCGGAGACGAGCATGATGTCGGGCGCGTCCCCCTACGGGGGGATTTTCGACGAGAACTAAAAAAATTATCCTGGCGAAAGACCCAACCATAAGCAATTGTTGGTAACGCGTTGTGGGTGCTGCTTTCGGTGGGGCTCCATATGGGGCCACGAAGCGCTGCCTTGGGTGGGGGAACCGCATGCGGACTGCGCCACCGGGGCGGGCCTTCGGTGGAGCTCCCTATGGGGCTACGAAACGCTGCCCTGGGTGGGGGAACCGCATGCGAACTGCGCCACTGGGGCCTTCGGTGGAGCTCCCTATGGTGCCACGAAACGCTGCCCTGGGTGGGGGAAGCGCATGCGAACTGCGCCACGGGGGCTTCGGTGGAGCTTTGCCCTATAGAGCTCCCTATGGGGCCACGAAACGCTGCCCTGGGTGGGGGAACCGCATGCGAGAGCAGCCACTGGGGCCTTCGGTGGAGCTCCCTATGGGGCCACGAAGCGCTGCCCTGGGTGGGGGAACCGCATGCGAACACCCCCACTGGGGCCTTCGGTGGAGCTCCCTATGGGGCCACGAAACGCTGCCCTGGGTGGGGGAACCGCATGCGAACACCCCCACTGGGGCCTTCGGTGGAGCTCCCTATGGGGCTACGAAACGCTGCCCTGGGTGGGGGAACCGCATGCGAACACCCCCACTGGGGCCTTCGGTGGAGCTCCCTATGGGGCCACGAAACGCTGCCCTGGGTGGGGGAACCGCATGCGAACACCCCCACTGGGGCCTTCGGTGGAGCTCCCTATGGGGCACGAAACGCTGCCCTGGGTGGGGGAACCGCATGCGAACACCCCCACTGGGGCCTTCGGTGGAGCTCCCTATGGGGCACGAAACGCTGCCCTGGGTGGGGGAACCGCATGCGAACACCCCCACTGGGGCCTTCGGTGGAGCTCCCTATGGGGCTACGAAACGCTGCCCTGGGTGGGGGAACCGCATGCGAACACCCCCACTGGGGCCTTCGGTGGAGCTCCCTATGGGGCCACGAAACGCTGCCCTGGGTGGGGGAACCGCATGCGAACACCCCCACTGGGGCCTTCGGTGGAGCTCCCTATGGGGCTACGAAACGCTGCCCTGGGTGGGGGAACCGCATGCGAACACCCCCACTGGGGCCTTCGGTGGAGCTCCCTATGGGGCTACGAAACGCTGCCCTGGGTGGGGGAACCGCATGCGAACACCCCCACTGGGGCCTTCGGTGGAGCTCCCTATGGGGCCACGAAACGCTGCCCTGGGTGGGGGAACCGCATGCGAACACCCCCACTGGGGCCTTCGGTGGAGCTCCCTATGGGGCCACGAAACGCTGCCCTGGGTGGGGGAACCGCATGCGAACACCCCCACTGGGGCCTTCGGTGGAGCTCCCTATGGGGCCACGAAACGCTGCCCTGGGTGGGGGAACCGCATGCGAACACCCCCACTGGGGCCTTCGGTGGAGCTCCCTATGGGGCCACGAAACGCTGCCCTGGGTGGGGGAACCGCATGCGAACACCCCCACTGGGGCCTTCGGTGGAGCTCCCTATGGGGCCACGAAACGCTGCCCTGGGTGGGGGAACCGCATGCGAACACCCCCACTGGGGCCTTCGGTGGAGCTCCCTATGGGGCTACGAAACGCTGCCCTGGGTGGGGGAACCGCATGCGAACACCCCCACTGGGGCCTTCGGTGGAGCTCCCTATGGGGCCACGAAACGCTGCCCTGGGTGGGGGAACCGCATGCGAACACCCCCACTGGGGCCTTCGGTGGAGCTCCCTATGGGGCCACGAAACGCTGCCCTGGGTGGGGGAACCGCATGCGAACACCCCCACTGGGGCCTTCGGTGGAGCTCCCTATGGGGCTACGAAACGCTGCCCTGGGTGGGGGAACCGCATGCGAACACCCCCACTGGGGCCTTCGGTGGAGCTCCCTATGGGGCCACGAAACGCTGCCCTGGGTGGGGGAACCGCATGCGAACACCCCCACTGGGGCCTTCGGTGGAGCTCCCTATGGGGCACGAAACGCTGCCCTGGGTGGGGGAACCGCATGCGAACACCCCCACTGGGGCCTTCGGTGGAGCTCCCTATGGGGCTACGAAACGCGTGAGAGGTGTGCCGAGAGCAGAGGCAAGGAGGGGGAGGAGGGAGGAGGAGGAAGGAGAGGAACGCGGGGCACCGTCTCTTCAAAACGAGGACCCAACACCACAGGATGGTTGGGAAAAATACACCAAACATGCACCAACAAAAAGGCCAAACAATAATCGAACAACAGTCCCCAGACTACTTTCGGACTATTTTTGGATTATTTTGGGAAGTTTTTTTTATTTGTCGTCGAAAATCCCCCTGTAGGCGGACAGGCCCGACTTAAGACGAGCAGAGCAGCTCCCGCGGGTCAGCTCGCC